GATTATACATCCTTTGGAGGGCACAATATGCTAATTGCCGTCGTCATGCGAGAAGTACAGCGCGAGCAATTGACTGTTTTGTTAATAATGGCATATGCCCTATTAGGCGAGTATACGTGGCTATATGTGGCATCACGTACGCTTGAGTTGCTGCAGTCAACCGCGCAACACCAATGCTGGATATTGGACTCGATTGCAAGGTGTGAATTGAATATGGGCATCGTCAACGTACCCTCAAGCGAGAGCAAAGCGCTCTCTAAGTCTTTGCTGGCCCGAGAAACGGCCACGTCATGCGTTTGCACTTGAATGATTTGACAACCTCCCGGACCCACTAGGGGCGACACCGAGCCTTTATATCGTCAAGATGTACAACACTGTTGTTGCAATCGAGTAGCTTGGCGCACGCTTATACCTCCCGCAAACAACAACGAGCCGACCAAGTAGCTCTGGAGGCGTGACGTGGCGGGATGGGGTCTCGAGGGGGTGTGTCTGAAGCCTCTTCCTGGGTAACAAGCATGGTCAACCGTCGAGCAACGTGTTCTCTCGAAGAAGCCCAACAGTCGATATGCAGTACATTTGCGTCTCAATGACGTCCTTGGCGTTAGTCAATGTCTCTCTTCGACGAGTACCTAGAAGAAGGACTGTTCGAGGAGCTCGAACCGAATCGTGGCCTTGAGGTGGTTGAAAATCGTCGGGAACGCCATGAGGTCGGTCGGGTTGCTCTCAACCCAGAGTGCGTCAAACATCGTAAAGACTTGGCCTAGGGTCGTCCATAATAAGACAATATTCTCCAAGAATCGCAACCGTACAGAAAAACTCGTGGAGCTCGTCGATATGGACGTCCTTGTCGTAGAAGCGGGCGTCCAAGAGGCGGTCGTTGATGAGTTCGACGAGGAAGCTACGCTGCTTGAGACACAAAGATCATCTTTGTAGTCGTATGTACTTGGTGATGTTGATGCCCGTGATGGCAAACGGGTACCACTGCGTCGGGTGGTTGGAGTGCACGAGGGCGCTAAGACTACACATCGTGGATGCTCGGCGACAGCGAAGGCACGTACCTTCTCGCTTCTTCCGGGTACTTGGACGTGTAGTAGAGGAGCTGGTGCAGCGAGAGGACACCCATGCTCCTGCAAAGCCAGTCACCTGAGCATCCGCATTGTCACGACAAGCCACGCACCGAAAGTCGGTCATGGGATCCGTGCCCTGGAAGCCAATCTCGCCCCACTCTTTGGTGTGGCGGCCGCCCGTGCGTCGGACGTCCGGCTTGAGGTTGCGCCACAGCTCTTCCAGCATGGCCTGCACAAGCATGAGCTGACAGGAAGACATGGTCGGAAGAGAGGACCTCGTGGGCATCGTTGGTCGAGTCGTACGACTCGTCCTTGAGCGCAATGACCTTGGCATAGACGTTGTTGACGGCAAGGAATGTCTTGAACGATTGGCGCAAGTTGGCCTCGGCGCTAGCCATCGGGGTCGAGATGAGGCGTTGAGAACGAGTATGCATCGCAGCCGTACATGAGGCTCTTGCTCAAGTCGATCTTCTTGGTGCGCGCCAGCGCCGCGAGCGTCACGTCCGTCTACATCGACGCCGATGAAGGTTGAATCATCGCTGCAGCCTGCGATATACCTCGAAAGGCTTGAAGCCAAAGATCGCCATCTGCGTGTCCTTGAGCGAGTCATCGAGGGCGATGGACGTGCGCAGTCGCACAAGCATCGAGCGCACGTCGTCCGCGGGCTTGGCCACAATGCGCTCGAGCTCGGTTTGGCCAAAGAAGACACCGACTGTCGCCCATGTTAGCGCTGCAGGAGGAGGAGGATGGGCGATAGTACGTACAGAAGAAGTTGGTCAACGCGCGGAAGAAGCGCGTCCAGATCGAGAGGTGGGCTTGCGCCAGCTTGGTCACGCGGAGGGCAGCGTCCATGGTTCACTTCTTGCCACCGGCGGAATCACAAAGATGAGGGCGTGACGTCCTTGATTACGTCGGCTTTTTTATTTTCGGCATGGGATGCCACCTCAAGTGCCGGCTCGCAGCGCCCGTCTTCGGCAGGCGAGATCGCACTCGTGCGACATTGAAGCGCAGTGCAGTCGCCAGTGCGCTGTCCAGTTTGCGCCGAGACCCTATTCCTGCCCATGATGGCATCGAACACCCGTCAAGGTGGCACATGCCGAATGCAACTTGCTTTCCGGATACCATCGGTCGCGATCTTTGAGCAACAGGCGTGGGGCCAAGGACAGGCAGCCGCAGCGTCGCGCGTACGCGGTACCTGCATGCTCTATGCACACATCATAACGAGCCAGCATCATGACGCCCAGCGCGTTCATGAACACTCAGAGGCCGGTGCGTCTGGACGTTTGCGCTGGACGGTCACGACCTACAGTGCATTGCAGCATGCGCCAACCGACCGCGATGCGCCCAACACGATGGCCTGCCACGCGTCGCCGCTTCCGTCTCCGTGCGGCGACCATCATTGAGGGGCGCTCGCCGTAGTATGTACCTTGGCAGCTGCCGTCCATGAGGCTGCAGGTCCCCGCGGCCATGTTGCTGGCGCTACTCGTGCTCGCTACGTCACTGGTCAAATCCAAGTCGCGGGGTGTTTTTTATCGCAGCGTCGATCAATACAATGCAAACACGAGTGTCTATCTTGTATATTGTATGTATTTTATTCAAAGCCAGTGATCACGTTTTTAAAATGCGTGGAGTTTTTTTGTCGACGCCATTGTAGCACGTGGGCGAGAATCCATTTTCGCCCGTTGGACGACCATGGTGTTGACGGGGAAGCAGCGCGAGGACATGTAGGTGGCAGGATGTCATGTCGAGACGAGGTCACCATGGGCGTGCGTATGCTAGGCACCAGGCCGTGCTCGAGTACCTCACGAGCCTCGGCGCGCAGTTTGCGACGTCCGCGGCCGCGTTCCAACAGGACGCGGGCCTCACGCCGACGATCACGATGGATCCAAACAAGACGGGTCTCCTCGAGAAGAAGTGGACGTCGGTCGTGCGCCTCCAGCGAAAGGTCATGGAACTCGAGACCAAGATCCAGCAGCTCGAAGACGACGCCAAGCTTGGCAACGTTGTGAGTCGGCGCGACGTGACGGGCGCCAACCGCGACGCTGCGCTCTTGCCGCGCGCACCGCCCAAGTACTCGATGTCGGGCCACCGCAGCCCGGTCACATGCGTCCTCTTCCACCCCGTCTTTAGCGTCATTGTCACGTCCAGCGAAGACGCGACCATCAAGGTACGACAAGATCGCAGCTGTCGCACGCTCATGGTCGTAGGTCTGGGATTTCGAGACGGGTGACTTTGAACGCACGCTCAAGGGTCACACAAACGCAGTGCAGTGCGTGGCCTTCAACCCAGCAGGCTCGATCCTCGGTACGTCGCGAAACTCCAGCACCGCTCGAACGAAAATGCTTGTAGCCTCGTCGTCAGCGGACCTCATGATCAAGCTCTGGGATTTTACGTCCGATGGCTCGTACGAATGCAAGAAGACGCTGCGCGGCCACGACCACAACGTGTGCTGCGTCACGTTTGCGCCGTCGGGCGACCACCTCTTTTCCTGCTCGCGCGATACGACCATCAAGGTAGCGACCACAAAAATGACACAATTTTGACGCTAATGGCACCTAGATCTGGGAGGTTGAGAGTGGCTACTGCATACAAACGCTCAACGGGCACGCGGACTGGGTGCGTACGATCTGCGTCACGGACGACGGCCAGTACCTTGCGAGCGGCGGCAACGACCGGTCGATCTTCCTCTGGGACCTCGCAACCTTCAAGCCGATCCAGAGCATGCGGGAGCACGAACACGTGGTCGAGACGGTCGCCTTTGCGCGCCAAGCGCAGCACGCGACCATTGACACCATTCACGGCAAAAAGGTCTCGCCCAACATGACACGGTCAGAACTGATACTTTGATACCTGTAGGTGCTCGAGACGACGGGGCAGTCGGGCGCAGGCGTCCGGTATTTATTGTCGGGCTCGCGTGACCGCACGGTGCGGCTCTGGGAAGCGTTCTCGGGTCTCCAGCTCATGAACTTTGTACGAGCTTTTAATTCAAGTTTGTATCAAGCGTGGGCGCTAGGTGAGCCACGACAATTGGGTACGCAGCGTGCGCTTCCACTGGAGCGGCAAGTACGCGATCAGCGCGTCTGAAGACAAGACGATTCGTCTCTTTGACATTGAGGTACAATATTGTCATGTGTGGAACGTTCCGTGAACGTGCGATCGTAGACGGGTCGCTGCGTGCGCACGCTCAAGGACGCGCACAACCACTTTCTCACGACGCTCGACGTGCATCCGTCGCTGCCACTGCTTGTGACGGGCAGCATCGACAAGCTCATCAACGTATGGGAGTGCGTCTAATTGATCCAATATCTTTTTCATGCCTTTTCCCGTCTTTTGCAGGGATTTCCTGTATTTTGTAGGGATTTCCTGTATTTCCACCTTAGATGCCCTTGTTGTACGTAAAATGGGTCACGCGCTCGCCCTTGGAGTTGATCAAGTGCTGGTACTGCGGCTCGAGCTCGGTCGCAGCGATCGTGCCGTACTGCGGGAAGAGCGCAATCGCAGCCGGAAAGGCGCCCCAGATGCACAACGTCACCACACCTAATCACCGTGCTCAGTCGCGTCGTCGGGCAAGTGACCGTAGTACTGATTTCGGTCACGACACGCCCGATGCGGTTCTTGGGCAGCGCGTTGACCTTCTTCATGGCCTCGAGGATGAACGGCGGGAAGAGCAAGACTAGCAAATCGCCGCATGAGACACGCCACTTTGCACACTCGAAGTTGTACTCGGCATGGGCAACGCGACGCGCGTCATCGCGACCTGCGTCAACGACTGCTTGCCCGCGTTCTGCGACCGGCCACGCGCGACGCCTTCGTCGTCAATGACGTCGATGCCCTCCCTATTCGTCGTCCAAGCACTGTTGAGCGAGTCCGATTTGGATGGTAATGCGGTACGTGAGCTCCTTGAGGCGCATGAAGACAGCGTTGCCAGCACCGGCGGCCGCGACCGCCACAAACGGCACCGTCTACGAGCATTGCGTGAGCGATCGAGAGAGGGAGATGGCAGTTGTACCCGCGACAAGGCGAGGCGCGCCGACGCGCCAAGGAACGACGCATGCTCGACCGCCTTGCCGAGACCCACGGACGCACCGCACGAGATGAGCACGGCCGACGCATACGCCTCTACGCCGGCGTGAGACGCATGACATATGTTCCTACACGTACTCGCAATGGCCGTCGTGTCGTCGACGCCGCTAGCGTTGCGGTTGGCGTAGTTGAAACCCGCGTTGTAGCTCTGGTTGATCCATTGCCAAAAGATCGTGTTGAAGAGCTAGACATGCATGAGCCAAGCATAGGTCTACAGAGGGGGTGTACCGTGGGCGGCGCGAGCACCATGCCAGAGCAGATCGGGATGTTCACGGGCACAAAGGCAGGCATGCGGAAGAGCAGCGGCAGCTTCTCGCCGGTCTGCGGATGAAACACCGACTCGCAAACTAGAACCGCATGAGCAAGAGTACGAGAGGCAGCGTATGCGTACTGCGACGGGCATCCCAGAGCTCGGCGTTCGTGACTGCGCCCGTGGGCAGGACGCCGGTCTTGTAGCCGTCGATGATGGCCTTGGACGCGTCGATTGTCTTGTCCGAGACGAAGAACGACCTACATGGAAAGGACTGGTGAGCAGCGCTTTGGACGATACGAGTGGCGTACGAGGGCGCGACGAGCTCGGAAAAGTGCTTCCAGCGGCCATAGTAAGTCGACTGGTCGTAGCGCGGAGCGTCGAGCGTGAACGGCGGGGCGTCGGCCATGGTGTGCGTTTGTCCGTGGAAATTTGCGTTTGGCGTCCGTCCAGCGTAAAGATCCCTAGAAAGTACGGGTGGCTCTCCAAGATACGATTCCGATCGTAATGGATGGGGCGAGGAGCGGTCGCGCAGCTGCCTGCACGGCGCCCTGAGCCCTTAGGCCACATCGTCTTCGGTCGTGTACGTAGCACTAGGTCAGTCGCGCTATTCGGAGCGGCAACGCCGTGCGTCCGCCTCGCGACGAGCATCCCGACATCCCAGGACTGTCTCACAACGTAGCACTCGCCCGCTACTTCAACCCGGACATCAGTATGGCGCACGGCTGCAATGGGTTCACAGTGGATGGCTCGTGGACTGCAATTCGGGACTCGCATGCCAAAGGGCAGTTTGGTTCATCACCGTTGAGGACAACATCAAAAACGCAGTTCTTAGTGCAGCTTATGGTGTGACGGCTTAGACGTAGCTCGGCCACGTCGACGTCGGCGCGGCGGCAGCGTCTTGCTGCGGGATACCCATGTAGCCGGCGCGGCGCTGCTGCGTGCGCAGGGCCACAAAGGCCGTGACGCAGACAGCACCGACGGCCGCGACGGCCATCGCATCAAAGGATGACGGACCCCACGACGTCGTGAGGCGGTTGCCATAGACCGCCGACATGTCGAGCGTCTCGTATGCGTTGAGGCTCACGAGCTTGGTGTTCAGCTTGGCTGCGACGCGCGCCGATTGGCACACCGAGTCGGACTCGCGGGTCGCGCACTCGAGACCCGCCTCGTAGTAGGCCAGCGAGATGTGCGCCGAGAGGTCCGAGAGCGACGCCGTGATGGCGGCAAAGCCGTCCGCCGAGCCGGCCGAAGACGCGTTCGTCAAAGTCGTCGTGTTGATCGCACTCGTCGTGTTGACAACAGCCAACGTCGTTGCGACCGGAGCCGTCGCGTTCGACGGGAGAACGACGTGCGTGGCGTTGGAAGGAGCAGAAGAGGTCGCGTTGGCCGCCACGAGCACCGACTTGTCGACGCTCACGCCCTTGGAAGGGGCATGCGGAGCCTTGGTGGTCTCGACCACTTCCGTGGGCTTGACTTCCTTCGTTGGCTTGGCTTCCTTCGTCGGCTTG